GAGGGCTAGCCTCCCACTAGTTCGAATTAAGGGGCTACACAGCCCTTAATTCGAACTAGTAAGTTCGAACTAGGCTTAGTCCTCGTAAAATGAGGTTTACCGAGTTCGAACTAAGCGCTCCGCTAGTTCGAATTAAGTTTGAACTAGTGGAGCGCTAGTGTAGCGCCTATGAAAGTTAATTCGAACTAACAGACGTTAGTTCGAATTAACTTTGTAGTGTAGACATACCCATCCAGTGTAGCTTCTTGATTCCCAAAACAAATGCATCCTTCCTGCTCTTCATTCAAACAGAGGAACTTCCACAGTAGAACATTTCAGTTCATTTAGTGCCATTCTCCAACTCAAGTTCCTACTTCAAAGTAGGCTCTTCATTTCACAGTCACTCAAGTCCATCTGTACAGTCAGTAGCTCCCCACAACAGCAAGCCTCTGAGCCCAGGTCAACAGATTCAGGCTTGCACTACAATGCTGAACATACTTGAGAAGGCCCAACATTTTAGCTATGGCTCAGGCTGAGAAGCCCATCCCAGTTCAGATCTCTTTGGTCCAACTAATAAAAACAGGATAGTGTGCAGCTTCCCTAGCCCATAGCAGTGCAACCAATATTTCAGTAATGTCCTGGCCATAATGCACTACCAGCAGAAGCAGCAGCATAGAGTGTGCCACATTTGGGGATAACTGACCTAAATTTCTTCTTAATGGTCCTACAAAGGCACTCAATCTAGGCTCCTGGCTTCTCAGCTGACAGCTCTCTTGTGGTGTGTCTACACTGCAGGGCTTAACTCGAAATAAGCCACACAAATTAATCTATGTCAATTGTGCATCTTATTTCGAAATAGAGAGCATCTACACAGCACTTATTTCGAAATAGAGCACTCTTCCTCCAACTTCCCTTATTCCTTGTACAATGAGGATTACAGGAATTGGAGTAAGAAGTCCTCCAGCTTGACAGTATTTTGACACTATTTTGAAATCACTGCCTGCTGTGTAGACATGGACTAAGTTATTTTGGAATAGCGCTAGTTATTTTGAAATAGTGTTGCAGTATAGATGCAACCTTGGGCAGAGACCCATGTCTCTCTCGTCTCTGAGTAGGGCAGTTCCAGGCAATATAGTTCCCTGCAATTCTGTGCTATCCCCAGTAAAAGCCAGACTGCCTAAAAAACAGACTCTTCACTTCTCTCCTCAGGGACGCTACACATCATTATGGTCACAGCTACAAGTTACCACACAGTTTTTTCCTAAGCAAACTCTTTTATTCTTAAAAATATTATAAAGAAAATATATTAAAATCAATAAAAGATTCTATATGCATCTTAATAAATGTAGCATAGATCACTCCCCCACTCCAACAAGGGTTTTGTTGGCATTCAGTCCTTCAAACTGCACAGAAGGCTCTCTCCTGCAGTCACATGTTCACCACTGCTTCAGCTCAAAAACTGTGGTTAAAAAATAACCTGGGCATTTTTAGTCTTGAGGAAAGAAGACCAACAAGGAGGGGATTTGCTAACAGTTTTCATACAAGTTAAGGGCTGCTATTAAAAGAAAGCAATCAGTTAATCTCCATGTCTACTGAAGGCAGAACAAGAAGTTATGAGTTTAATCTGCAGCAAGAGAGATTTAAAGTAGATACTAGGAAAAAAGCTTTCTAATACAAAGGGAGTTAGGCTCTGAAAAAGGCTTCCAAAGAAGAAAGGGATGCAGAATCCCCATCACTGGAAGTTTTTAAACACACATGGGCCAAACACTTATCCGAGGTGGTCTAGATTTCCTTGGTCCAGCAAGTAACAGCGATAGCCATAATATGGTATAATATGCCAATTCTAAATGGCATGACATTGTGGATATAAATTGTGCTCATTTTCATGAGCCAGAAGGGCTTCTACCCACTGAAAACGTGGCTGATCCACCTTTTCCCTTTACCACCTCCAAGTCTGTGTTCTGGTGAAGGTGGCAAGAGGGATAATTCTATTTAGAGTGAATACAGAAGTTGTAATAATGTGTATTTCAATATATATGTCAGTGTGTAAAAAATCATAAACCATCAATGTTTTTTCCATCTTGTTGCATTCACAAACATAAGAACGGCCGTACTGGGTCAGACCAAAGGTCCATCTAACCCAGTATCCTGTCTACCGACAGTGGCCAGCACCAGGTGCCCCAGAGAGGGTGG